GCTAATTGTAAGGTTGACGGTTTTAAACCACCTGCAGCGCTGCAGGAGAAAGAGGCAGCTTTCCACAAACGGATAGCCTTGGAAACCTATAGCGGTCTACTCTGTCTTACAGGGTCCTTCTGAGTCAGAACTGGCTCAATGGTAATGAGTGAATATATGGTGGTGTGGGGTAAACAGTTGGCTTTAATGAAGTCAGAACTTGTCTGTTGCAAAACACAGATGCTTGCCAGCCTGGAGGACCATAGTTGATCTTCTACAGGAGGATGACCCCCGGGGGACTCTATCGCTGCTGTGCTTGTAGGCCTTTCTTCAGCAAGCAGGCGGTCCTTTCTACACCCGGGGATCCTTGAGAAGCCTGCTGTAGCCTGGACCTGTGCGGTGGCCTACAAAGCCCGTAACCACATAAGTCACTGTCTCTCCAACACTGGAGCTGGAAAAGACCATCAGCTCCAGGCAACAGCATGCCAGGCCGGTGTGTCTGCTGCTAACGATTCCCACCAACCTCATCAGTGCTTCCCTGGGAGGCCAGTAGGAGTCACACCGCAAACTCTTCGTAACCTTCAAGACCTGGTCAGAGTCCGAGTGGTTTTGGGAGGTGGGCTGGGGTTCACTCTTCTCTTCTATTTTCAGAATGAAGAAAACGGGGACACTTAAGTACATGGCACGGGCGTGTGTATATCACATTCGGCCTCCTCTGTCTATACAAGGAACAAGGAGAATCCCAGGCTGACGGCCACGAGGTCAGACAGGCCTCTACCCTCCGTCCTTCGCCACACTGCTTCGATACCAACTTTCCTCCCACGGCCCTCTACTTTTGTGCTGCCACACAGAACTCACAGACAAAACTCACCATTAGGGGGGTTTACTAGGGACGTTAACAGGCAGGAACCATAGACAGCACGGATATGGCTATTGGTCCACAAGAGCGCCTCTCCTCAGCCAGTAGCCGAGTCTCTCTCTGGTCCTCCGCCTCTCAGACACATGGTCCCTGGGTTTCTGTCTCACGGTCTCAGTCCTTTCCACCCCTCTGTTCCCTCATGTCCCCTTGCCTAATCCTCGGTCTCAGGGTGGCGTGGCATCTGCCGCCTCTGCCGCTTCAGAGGGGTCTGCTGGGGGCTCTTCTTCCTCGATGTTCCTGGGGGCCTCTCTGCTTCGAGATGGCTACTATGCAAAGAGAAACGGCTTTGATGGAGGGGTGGTTTTGACTTTCAGCTGAGTATACTCTTAAGCAAACGAAGGGCAGTGACTTGGTTCACACCTCTAATAAGAGGGAGACTCAGAATGCACCCCAGCTTAATCCTGGCCACTGGCCCAGCAGAGAACTCGCTCCAAAATGGAATTGTAACCATAGGCATAAAACCAAAAACCAAACTCCCTGCCATTGAGTCTCTTCTGTCTCAGAGACCCTGTAGGACAGGGTGGACATGAACCTGTGCGTTTCTGAGACTGTGGCTCTTTGTAGTAGCCTCATCTTTCTCCCAAAGGAGGGCTTTGACCACAGGCACAGACATTAGAATTTATAACGCATGACATAAGGGGTTACAGCTAGAAGGGTCATAATAATTGATTGCATCTCAGACACTTAAAAAGAAAATAAAAAGGCAGTGTATTGAATGCTGTAAAAAAAAATGCCTGGTGTTTTCTGATCTCCTCTCACTTCACCAGAGGGCGAGAGAAGATCAACAGCCCAAGGTTGATTTCTACGAGGGAGAAGTCAGGCTTACCCATTCTGATACCAGCTCTCCTGCCCATAGCACTCTCCACTTCTCTACCGGATTTGGTAATCCATTGCCATCTCACGATTGTGGGGATTACTAGGGAAGTCACATGCTACAGTTCAGGTTCGGGAGTGCTCAGGACATGGTGCTTTGATCAGGACAACTTCTCAACCGGGCCTGCAGGCAACCCTCTCTCTGGCTCTCAGCAAGTTCGCAAGTAGTACAAAGCTCATTTAGTTCTGCCATTAAGTGTCCAGAGGCACCCTACTCTACCACGAAGCCTCAGCTCGGAGGCACTCAGCCCTGGCTCTATGGGTTGGCAAATTTAACTCCACCAAGTGCCCAGAGACCCTCTACTCCCCAGCCTCTTCCTGCTTAAAAGCACTCAGCTCTCTAGGCTTCCGGCTGGGAAGCCTGCCACTCTGTCTCACGATGGTCTCCTTATTCTGCTGCCTTGGTTCCCACATTTCTCTGTCACTGCCGGGTGCCATCTTTTGCCATCTCTGGGGTCAGAGCTCTCTGTTGCCTGGATTGAGGAGGTTTCCAGCACAGGGATCCCGAGTCCAAAAGACATGCTCCACACCTAGTTCTTTCTCTCCTGGTGGTTGTGAGCGCTGCCTTGCCATCTCTGGGATGGCCCGTCTTAAGTCTAAAGAGATGGCAACACTGATCAAGCCCCTCAATAAGGTTCTATATACCTTAGGTTCATGGTCCCATCCAGTCATTTGGGGGCTTACAAAGACTTTGGCAAGAAGAGCCATGTTAATCAATTCACTGCACGGCAAACATCAGTCGTAGAACTGGTCACCTAACATGTGTGTATTCTCTGACTTTTACCCGAGGGGAACGCCCTAGCCTGCTTCCTCTGACCAAAGACCCCAAGTCACCAGGATTCATGGAAGACTGGAGAAGCTCTGGCTAACACACCAGTGAGGTAATGTCTGGGTTTTGTTTCATATCTCAGATAGATTACTCACTCTTGGTAGATAAAAGGTATAGACCCTGTCAGGTTATATACACAGATCCTGCTGAAGACAGGGCCCCCGTTGGTCGGTGAGCTGGGGAAAGTTGGTGCTGGGCACTGAGCAGAAGACCAGGAGCAGCAGGGGTCCCAGATAAACCGTCTCCTGACCCCTCACTAGGGTGCCATAAGCCTGTTTCATAGCCTCACCCAGTCATTTTGTGGGAGTTACAAAGGCTTTGGCTACAAGAGCCATGCTAATCAATTCACTGCATGGCAAATGTCAATAGTGCCATAGAGCTCCTAACATCTGTGGGCTTCTTTGTGTTGAAGTCCAGACCTCCACCCTCAACCCCACCCCAGGAGAGCCCAGATGCTCATATTAGATAAAGGACCTTGATGAAGGTCCACACGGAAGGTCGTTTGTCTTGGATTTCCAGGGAAGAGCTGGCCTGGCCGAGCCGGAGAGCCCAGGCCCCGCAGGCTCTGCTCAGTCCTCTTACCTGCTGGGTCTAGAGCAACACCTTCCGCACCAAGCACTCGTGGGTCAGTGGTAACATTCTGCCTTTTTCAGTGGGAGATCCAGGTTCAACTCCCAGCTGAGGCATCTCATGTAGAGACACCATTCACCTGTCAGTCACCTGTTGTCAGGTTTCAGCAGGAATTTCAGGCGCTGCTAGGCTTGGAAGACAGGCCTGTTGATCCGCATCCCCAAAGCAGCCAAGGAAAACCGTGTGGATCTCCACCGTCCTGTCACTCACCAGGTGTGGAGGCCCTGTGGGACTGAGCTGCGTTGTGCTCTGCTGTTCCCGGGGCCGCCTTCAATGGGGGCCTGACTCTGCAGCAGTAACAACCGCCATTGACAACGAGTGTTCACAGGCCGCGATGGCCGTGCATCCTCCCAAGAGCCTTGTAGGAAGAGCCGAGAAGACGAGGCTCACATGGGTGAAGAGATTAAGCAGGGCCGCCAACGAGTTTGGACACAGAGTTCATGCGTGTTCTCCTCCGAGTTCATGGGCAAGGTGGGATCAAGGGCTCTTGGGCCAGTCTCTCTGGCCTGGTAGAGGCCGAGAAGAAATCCAAGCAGGTAGCATCTGTTCCTTAGGGTCCAACCCAGGCGATAATTCTTGTCACCGCACCGTCCTTAATGACGCCGTGAGTGTGCCCCACCCTCCGGACCCTGCTCACCGCAGGGGCTTACAGGGCAGAGGACCCCGACACACTCAGCCGGCCCCAAGTTGCCCCTGGGGGGCTCAGAACTGCCCTGGCGCCGAGACACGAATGGAGCACCAGGGAAATGGATCGGTCTCCCCCAGGATCCTCTCTTCCGGCCAATTTACCCCACACATTCTCTGACGCTGTGGTAGGGTCCTTGAAATTTCATTTCACAACTTCCTGGCAGCTATCAGGGCAGCGGATGGCAAGCCCGTTAGTGCTGGCCAGTCTCCCAAAGAGGCCCAGCCTGCTGCAGACTTCCTCCTCCTCCCCCACATGGGTGCCGGGCCAGTTGGCAGGTAGTCTTGAGGATAACTCTGAAAGGCTGCCAACAAGTGGCTCCCTGACATGTGAGGGCAGCTCACAATGGTGAGCACACAGCGAGACTGACCCCACCGGTCTGGTCTCTTCCCTCAGTCAAAAGGTGTGACCCTGCTCTGTTGTTACCTGCCTTGAAGTTGGCCTGCCTCCCCACGACCTCATACACGACGGAATGTAACACTGCCTGGGCCATCCCTTGCTGCAGTACAGATGGGACCGCTGTGATTCTCAGGGTATGCATTGGCTGATCTTTAAACATAAATCACTGGGCCTTTCTGTCTAGACTGTCTTAGTTTGGAAATTCCATGGAAACCTGTCAGCAGCATAGCAACATACAGGCTGCTCCACTGACAGACAGACGGGGTAGTAGCTCTACTTGAGGGGCATTAAGTCTCCTGCAGAGAAGGGGAGAAGACCACCATTGAACAACCTCATTCTCGATGAGCCCTCCTTACCCGCTGTGTGAGTCTGGGTGGACTAGAAAAACAAATTCATAGACACTCATATGTGTATAAGAAAGAGCTTTATATAAAGAGCAATAGTATATTAAGAAAACATCCCAGCCCAGTCCAGATCAAGTCCATACGTCTGATATTAGCCCATATGTCTGATACCAGTCTGTGAATTTCTCTTCAGACTCACGCAACACATGCAATGACGCCGAATGCAGGAAATCACAGGCCAGTGGGTGGAAAGTCCTGTGGATACAGTGGCAGTGGAAGCATCTCAGCGCTGGTGTGGTTTTCCATATGGATTCTCCAGCTCCAGGACTCTGGCTCCATCTAGTTTGTCATCAGGAATGTCTCGCAGCAAGTGTGTGTCCCACCTACAGGGGGAAAGACAGAACTTCCAAGAATCCTCAGGAGAAGGCCGTGCCCACACAGAGGCCTCATTGTCTATGACCTGATTGACAGGCTAGATTCCACCCCTTCACAAGTTGACAGGTTATGTAACTGCCACACCCACCTTCATTGATCAGCTCACCTTTGAACCTGGTCTGCCTCTGGGAAGCTCTGGAGCAGAGACCAGCTCAGCCCTTCCAGGACAAAGAAGAACCTGGGTTTGTACTTGGGGAATACTTGTACCGGTCACTTCTCCCCTGCAAGGCCCAGTCCACCTCCCTATACTTGGAGTTCCCAGGGGTTCATTCTAAAGAAATCAACCAGCCTTGATGGCTGTGAGCTTAGGTTTTTTGAAGTTTGGGTTTTCCATATTCAGAGTTCTGTTGGTCAGGCCAGTGGGGTAGAGACCCAAAACCCACTGCTGACCCAATTCCAACTCAGAGCAACCCTATAAGACAGAGTAGAACTGCCCCTGTAGGTTTCAGAGACGGGATTTGAACCAGCAACCTTGAGGCTAACAGTCCAATGCTTAACCCCATTGCGTGCCACCAGGGATCCTTGTAAATTTAAAACATGTTATTTCTCTTCACCATCAGAATAAATATGAGCGTGGTATCCAACTCTTAACAGCCCTACAGAGTAGAGCAGAACTGGCCCCATCGTTGTCAAGTCTATAAATCTCTACATAGCCTGCTACTGCCACGTATTTCTCTCATGGAGTAGCTGGTGGGTGTGAACCACTGACCTTTGGATGGCAGCCCAACAATTAATTAACCACTGCACCCCCAGGGTCCTTTGCACAGTAGATACAAATATTGGTTCTTCTTCCTTCCTCTCAATGAGGTTGTTGTTGTCGTTAGGTGCCATCCAGTTGGTTATGGCTCACAGTGACCCCATGCACAACAGAATGAGACAATGCCCTGTTCTGCCCCCACCTCACAATTGTTCTTGTGTTTGAGCCCATTGTTGCAGCCACTATATCGATCCATCTTGTGGAGGGCCTTCCTCTTTTTCGTCGCCCCTCTACTTTACCAAGCAGGATGTCTTTCTCCAGGGACTGGTCTCTTGGCAACATGCGCAAAGTATGTAAAACAAAGTCTTGCCATCCTTGCTTCTCAGGAGCACTCTGGCTGTATTCTTCCAAGAGAGATGTGCTTGTTTTGGTCGTCCATGATACTTTCAATAGTCCCCGCCAGCACCATCATTCAAATGCACGATTCTTCTTCCGTCTTCCTTATCCAGGGTCCAACTTGCACACGCATATGACGTGGGGAAGGGAAATGCTATGATCGTCACTTTGTAAGCTAACAAATGTGTTCGAGAGTAAACAGATGCCCAGTGGTGGCCCTCAGATTCAAAGCAACGTGGCTGTAGACCCACAGCCGGATCCCAGAGTCCTGGGACCTCAACAAGGCTAAGGAAACAAGCATTGCTCTTGGCGTCCCAGTGCATCCGTAGGTGGGCTTATTCCAAACAAAGCACGTGTCTCCACATCTCTGGAGGGCCGCCGACAAGTTCTCTCCAGAATGTCCATGTCCTGGCCTTGTTCTGGTGCCTTCAAAAAAAAAAGGGGGGGGGTGGAGTTCCCATCTGAACAGTGGCTTCCAAGGGGATCCAGTGGGCTAGTTCAATTCAAGACAGAGAAGTCAGCTCAGAAAGTTCTGGACTCCAAAAAGGTCATTTGGTAAGTTTCCTTGAAGGACTCAGATGATCATTGGGCTTCTTAGGATGAAGTTTTAAGAAAAGTGAAAACTGCACTGGAGAGAAAAAGGCTAGGGAAATTGTGCTGAGAAAATTCTTCCCATCATGACAGAGCACATGCTGATTCTCCGAGAGTAGTGAGGCCTGTCTCCCCCAACTCCCCACTTCCAGCCCTGACCTTGCCCTTTCAGACTTTTTTGTTCCCCCAATTCAAAGAACAGTAGAAAGGAACGCCATCTGAGCCCCTGTGTTGCCGTGGTGTGCCCGGTAGAGTGCAGAATTCCTTGGGCGGGGGAATTAGAGAGGTGGGAACTCCACCTTCAGACGTGTGTAGGCCTAGAGGGGGCTATCTTGAGAGTTTCCCATTTTGATGGCTTTGTTTACAGAACAATTCTATGCTGTTGTGGCAGCGCTGTTAGACCTGTCCTCCTGCAAGGCTCCTGTCTCCCTTCCCTCAGGCAATCAGTACTGAGGTTGCTGGGGTTGCTGACAAGGTCTCGAATGTGTACCACCCTCACTACACTCGGGCATTCTCCCAAGTGCTTTACACCCAGCAACTCGTGGAACCCTCTTAAAGCCCCACAGCCCAAACCTGAAACCCGCTACTGTTGAGTCGATGCCAACTCAGGGCAGCCCTGGGCCAGGTTTCTGTGAGCAGACAGCCTCTAACACAGTGTGGGTCCCTGTTTGCTGCCTGCCACAGCCCTGCACCTACTGCAAGGAGTATGCCCACCATCTCAGATATTACTGAGTTGTCTTTCAGAGGCCAGCACTGGCTATTTATTATAGTTCAATAACTCAAACTCACTGCCCTTGAGTCAATTCCAACTCAGAGCAACCCCAGAGGACAGGGTAGAACTGCACCTGTGGGTTTCTGAGGCGGTAATTCTTAATGGGAGTAGAAAGCCTTCTTTTTCTCTTGAGGAGCAACTGGTGGTTTCAAACTGCTGACCTTGTGGTCAGCAGGCCAATGCGAAACCACTGTGCCACCAGGGCACAATAACTAGTTAGTAAATAAATACAAAGATGCTAGGAAGGTGTTAGGCCAGAGGAAGGCCATTCTGTTAAAGTTTAAAAGAAAACCACGGAGCTCACACTGGTCATTAATTCTTTCTCCTGCTTTTGTCCAAGATATTAAAGCGCCACAGAAACAGATCATTGATTTGAACCTACTCCATCCTTTGACGGGTATTCTCCCAGAGGCCACCGCAGGTCCTGAGAGTCCGCTGAAGACAGAGACCACACTCTGTGTTTCTAGACCTGTCTTCTGTCTCCCAGGGTGACAGCTTTGTGTCCTGGCTTAGAAGCACAGGTTCCCAAAACGGGAGATGGCACCTGCAGCGTCTCTGTGGAGCCGGACTCAAAACTGTGAGGGCTCTGGGAACATCCGAGCAAATCACTTGATCAGGTTGGGACCGACCCAGAACATATGCCTAAAGAGGTGGCAAGTTGCAAACTGAGACTATTATGAGCCATCTGCTCTGGTGAGATGGCCAGCGGGAGTGGATGGGGCTGGAAAATGCCCAGACAGCAAACGTCTCCCCTGGAAAGGATGATCAGTGCTGCCCAGAAACAGAAGGCTTTGATGAAGTCCTTTGCATTAAATCACTTGCATTCACGTCATCTCCGTCTCTTGTCTCTCCAGGACCCCATGGGTGTCACAGGAGAACTGTCCTCCGCAGGGGTACACTGGCTGCGAGGAGCTGCCAGGCCTTTCTTCTGAGGCGCCTCTGGGTGGACTCAAACTTCCAATGTTTTGGTTAGCAGCTGAGCATGTTCACATGGAGGACCACCCAGGGACGTCTTGCAGCAAGTCACGCAGAATCGCGTCTTAAAGTAGCTGGATGTGTTAGTCTGGGTACTTTAGAGAAACAAATCCACAGAAACTCATGTATAAGAAAGAGTTTTATAGAAAGGTTAAGTGCACATCAAGAAAACATCCCAACCCAGTGCTGCCCAAGCTCACAAGTCCAACATTAACCCACATGTCCGACACCAATCCACAAAGTCCTCCTCCATCTCACAAAACATACACTATGGTGCCGACTGCAGGAGGAAAGCCGAATCAGTGAACGTGTAAGCATCTCAGTGCTGGCAGGGGTCTCCACACGGCTACCCCAGCACCCAGGGCTGCATTGGGGTAGGTCCATGCCTCTTCTCCTCAGGGATGTGTGTAGGAAGTGAGCCTTGCCAGCTGAAGCAGGGAACTGGCTAGGGCAGCTGCACCCTGGTCCGACCATTACAAAGGAAGAGACCCAAGAACTCCGAAGGCAAGGCTCACCAAGTCATTTATCTCTCCGCCCTTCAATTAACCCCACATGTGTTTATCAGCCAGGTTGGCACAATAAACTAACTCACTGGACTTGAGATAACTCCATGTAAAGGCTACCCTTGGAGACAAAGACTTAAAGAGCTCTTCCCCCAGACTTAGGTGTAGCTGAGCGGGATCATGAGTGAGGTTCACCTGTTGGCGGCTGCACAGGCTCAAAGAATCATTTTACAGACAGGTACACGGCCAGGTGAAACGTGACAGGTAGCAGGTGACTGGACAGGGGCCAGCATTCCCCTTAAAACTGGGACAGTTAGTGCTTGGTCCTGAAGAAAATCCTTCTAATATCTTCTCTAAGCCACAGTCACTACCGCCTGCAACAAATAAATAAATTAATTAAAAAGCAACCAATTACCAGATCTAATGAGCTCCTGTCAACTTCTTTCCTGGAAACAGCTTCCAAGGCTCTTGCCCAAATTCAGCTTCACCAACACCCTGATCCAAGAAACCCTCAGTCATGGAGGAGAAGGCTTTGCTTGCCCACAGCGGCTGTAAGGTTTCCCAACACCAAGCTGGGGCACAGAGCTTAATCCTGCGAGCTTTGAGGAATCAATCTCTCTTCTCTTCTCCTCTCCTCTCCTCTCCTCTCCTCTCCTCTCCTCTCCTCTCCTCTCCTCTCCTCAGATCCACATCATGGGTCAGCGAGTGTGCTACTTTG